TAACTTAATCAAAATTAAGTATACTCCAATGAAGCGTAAAAAGAAAAAGAATAAAAAGGAAATGAATAAACATAAATCCATGACGAAAGCTTATAACCAAGGACGAAAAATCTCAGTAGGAAAAAGAGACGCAAAACTTACAAGATAAATCTCCTTAGAAGCAAGGAGCATAACGCCTCAGGAAACTCCATACAAGAAAACAATGAAGAAAATCACTCCATTACCCCATGCACCCATTTATTTATTTTTCTTTTAAAAAAAAAGATAATTAAATAAAGAGTTAATTTCATTTTTGGTCTTAAATTTATATGTGACTCTACTTTTAGTTTTTTATTTTTATTTTTTTTTTAATTTTTATTAGAACATCCTCATTTAGTCCTAGTATTATTGTAGAATTACCAATTTTAGTACCCCTTCAACAAAATCGTTGAAATATCGTTAAATACAAAGACATTTCAATCTCTTTTTTTTTATACAAATATCGTTAAATATATTTTTGAAATAATCCATAACTGAAGACCGAAATGTCTTTGTATTTAATAATATTTAAATTATTTTGTTGATAAAGGATCAAAAATGTCATGCCACAATAATATTAGGACCAAAAATAAATATTATAATAAAAAAATGACTTAAAGTGAATTGACACATATAAATCTAAGACAAAAATGAAACTAACTCTTAAATAAACATTACATCTTAGCTATCTTGTTCAATCTTGTTCAATGAACAATCTAGATTAAATCACAAAGCTTTCACATATAGAGTGGTTATATAAAGGGGATTATTATATTATATATTGTCGTTATCGTAGACGTACGGATTATTGAATTCTGCACATGCATGTCTACGTGGAACCAATTACAATGAAAAAATATTCTTTTTTACCTCAATATTTATATGTATCTGAATCGTGGTTGCAATAGGCGCTAAGAACTAGTTGGGCGCTCTGGCAGCGCCTAGCGCCTAGGCGAAATCTAGGTGGGCACAAAAAAACAGTGACAGACTTACAGTTTGAAAATTTTAATGAGACTGTTTTCAACATTCAATTAAATAACACATTCAAATAAATGAAATAATGATAATTTATAAGTCATAACATTAAAACAATATTAAAAATTAAAAATACTCAAATATGAAATACTCAAATACTTCAATCATCCAAACATGTAATTAATTAACTCTTAAACATCTCAAATGCTCTGTCGAGCCGGGGTGTGGGGGCCCTTAAGGTTGGGGTTCAGCCTTTTGAAAGAATTAACTCTTTAAACAAGTTAACTTTGTGCAATTGAACAAAAGTGATCTATTCTCCAAGTTAATGGCTGACATGATGATTAACATTTAAAATTTTGTTTTGTGCTATTTTTAACAACTTTAACCATTAAAAATTAAAAAAAAAAACATTAAAAAAAAATTAAAAATCAACCCTCCCTTTTGTCTCCCACTCAAGAGTCAAGACCAAGAAGTATATTTGAGTAAGTATTCTATGAAACCGTAACGTTTAATATTTTTTAATTAAAATATAATATTTTTTATATACCAATAAAATATATTGTATCTTTAAAATATTACATATCTCACTTTATTTTATCTTTCTAATAATTATTAAGATAAGTATGCAGATGAAATTTTCCGTACGACAAATTAAAGATATTATTTTGTGTAGAGAATATTACTTTCAATATAATGCCGTAGCCGTGGAACTTTGGTTACGTTGTAATGTTGTGTGAGGAATTGACTAGTCTTTGTTCAACAAAGGCTGTTTACAACCCATAAGTCGCAGATGAAATAGACTGAAAAGGCTGGTTACGTTGTAATGTTGCGTGAGGGATTGATAAGGCCAATTGAAAAGTAGAATTATACAGATTCAAGCAGTTGAAATAGAGACTGCACATTTCTTGAATTCTGCATCAGATACATACGATGAGTTTAGGAACGCGTAATTGATTGAACAGTAACAAACAGATAAGAGTAGACCTGACAATTATCGACACGATCCGTTAACACGGCACGAAACTGAACACGAAAATAACGGGTTAATGTTTAGTCTTAATGTATCCCGGGTCGTTAAGGGGTTGACCCGTTAAAGACCCGTTATGATTCGTGTCTTAACAAGTCAACCCGTTAAGAACCCGTTTAACCCGTTAATATTATCGTGTTAACGGGTTAACACGAACCCGTTTACACGACCCTGTTTATAACCCGCTAAAAACCATGCTTATAATATTATTTTACTTATTTAATAATTTACAGAAGATATCATGAATATGACTATGGATGAATTTATTACATCATGATGAATTATTGATATTCAATAATATGCAATTTGAATTTCATTGTGTTTAATTTTATTCTAAAATATTATTATAGACTTCTTTAACTATAATTTTTGGACGTTATTTCATCTTTTATGAAAGTTATGAATTGAATATTTTTTTAATTTGTTTGATGGATTGAATTGTAGGTTTTATTATTATTATTTTTTAATATATATAACTTTACTTAAAATTTTAATATATATATATATATATATATATATATATATATATATATTAAATAGGTTTAGCGGGTTTAATTGAGTTTCGTGTCATATCGTGTCGACACGATCTGAAACCTGTTAACAAAACGTGTCTATCGTGTCAACCCGTTTAACCCGTTAACAAATCGTGTTCGTGTTAAAAATGTGAACCCGTTAACATTAACGTGTCGTGTCCGTGTTTGGTCTTATCGTGTTCGTGTCAACCCGTTAACGAACACGTATACACGAATTGCCAGGTCTAGATAAGAGTTACAAGATATACTACCAGTAGAAGGATCCTATCTATACAGATGGCTAAGGATGAGGTCAATATAACAAATATTGACTTATACTAATAATATATAATATATGCTAATACTCCCCCTCAAGCACAAGGTTGGAGCGCAGCAACATTGAGCTTGTCGCGTAGATCCCCAAAGCGTTGCGCAGCGAGCGGTTTGGTGAAGATATCAGTCAGCTGGTCTTTCGTTGAGATAAAATTGACTTCAAATTCCCCGGAGGAGACTTTATCACGGACGAAATGATAATCCACTTCAACATGCTTAGTCCTCGCATGAAATACTGGATTAGCACAGAGATAAGTGGCGCCCAGGTTATCGCACCACAGAGTAGGGGTGTTCAATCGGTTAACCGAACCGTTTTAACTGAAGTTTTTTTTCCTTTAACCGTTAACCGAATCGAAGTTTGCTCTACCGAATTCACCGAACTGAAATTTTTTTCGGTTAATCGGTCGGTTAACTGATTAATCGAACTTTTTAAAACTAAAATTTAAAATTCTAAAAATAATACCTAAAATAATAAATTCAATTAAAATAAAATACATATCATAATAAATTCATAACAAAATATACAAAAACATTAATTATAAACTCCAAACATCCATAACTTCAAATTAGTATTTATATTTATATTATTATTTATATATATATATTAAAAACTTCGGTTAACCGTTCGGTTAATTCGGTTAACCGACCTTTCGAACCGAATTAACCATTAACCGAAGTTTTAAAATTTCTTTAACCATTAATCGAACCGAAAAAGTTCGGTTCGAAAACGGTTAACCGAACTTTGTCGGTTCGGTTGGTTAACCGAAAATTATCCGAAGTTTGCACACCCCTACTACAGAGTAGCCGGAGACCCTGAGTGTAATCCAAGCTCACGCAGTATAGAGACGACCCAAGTTACTTCCGCTGAAACATCTGCAAGGCCTTTGTACTCGGCTTCAATGGAGGACCTGGCTATAGTACACTGTTTTCGAGATACTCAGGAAACCAAATTGGTCCCGAGAAAAATCGCATACCCACTTGTGGACTTCCGATCAACCGGACATCCTTCCCAATCCGAGTCCGAGAATGCATGAATGTCGGAGGACGGTGAAGGAGCTGAGATAGACACAAGCCAAGATCCAGCGTCCCTTTGACATACCGCAGAACCCTTTTGAGAAGACCCCAGTGTTCCTGTGTTGGCGTATGCATAAACTGACATAGCTTGTTCACCGCATAAGACAAGTCCGGTCTAGTGATGGTGAGATATTGCAGAGCACCAGCGAGCCGTCGGTATTGAGTTGGATTGTCGAAGAGATCAGTAGTAGGAGTGACAGCCTGAGTCTTGGAAGCGGGAGTTGTGAGTGGTTTGCAGTCAGTCATGCCCGCTCGATTTAAGAGATCTTTCATGTAACGACGCTGTGATAAAAGGACCCCATCCCCTTTAGCTAGGGTTTCTATGCCGAGAAAGAAGCCCGGCGTACCGAGATCCCGAATTTTGAATGTTGATGCAAGGCGGTGCAGAAGAGTATCAACCAATATGGAGTCATTGCCCATCATGATGATGTCGTCCACATAGACAAGTAAAAAGACGCGTGAATCTCCGCTGCAGTAGTAAAAGAGAGAAACATCCGTTTTGGATCCCGAAATTTGAATGTTGATGCAAGACACTATCTGAGTCCTCCAAAATAGGTAGTTGCGATTGGTGAGTTTGAGGGATACGAAGTGATGCGCAGAATTGAGAGAGGTTGGGGTCGCCGGCGTGGGAATTGTGGTGGCCGTGAGGGTACGTTCGGAGTTGGAAGTTGACATGATCGACCCCTGAGGGATTGAAAAAGGGGAGAGAAAGTTTAGGAGAGAAAACTGGCAATCTGATACCAGATGAGTTTAGGAAACGCGTAATTGAATGAACAGTAACAAACAGATAAGAGTTACAAGATATACTACCAGTAGAAGGATCTTATACAGATGGCTAAGGATGAGGTCAATATAACAAATATTATTTTTTTTTGGTGAGTAATATAACAAATATTGACTTATACTAATAATATATAATATATGCCAAGCAAGCTGCAAAACTCTTATTTCTTCCATGCCACCATTTAAAGAACCAAGCTAAGCTTTTTTCATCCTAAATCAACCTCATAATGTCCAAACTAACCCCATCATCATCAACCCAAATCTACCTCATCATCCACACACTTCTGCTCTTCACTTTGCCCTTCCATGGAAACTGCCAACCCAGTATCAATCCAGAGACAACAATTTTGCTTGAAATAAAGAACCATTTTTCTAACCCATCCAATCTTTCCCACTGGACTTCATCCTCCGATCATTGTACTTGGCCGGAGATCACCTGTGCAGATGGCTCCGTCACTGGAATCCAGCTGGCCTTCCTAACGCTTAACCAAACCATCCCACCATCCATCTGTGACCTCAAAAACCTCACAATTCTTGATCTCAACAACAACTTCATCCCTGGACCTTTCCCTGTAGCTCTGTACAATTGTTCAAATCTTGAATACTTGGATTTGTCTTACAACTACTTCAATGGCTCCATCCCTGCTGGAGTTTCTTCTTGGAATAATCTTATTAACTTCAAGGCAAGCAATAATCTCTTTACTGGTGAAATCCCTCAAGAACTGAAAGCGCTGAAACTATTATCTGTCCTTTGGATAGATGGGAATCAGCTTTCTGGAAATTTCCCATCAGAAATTATCTCATGGAAGTCACTGACCTCCTTGAAAGGCAGCAGGAATCAATTGTCAGGTGAAATCCCTTCAGCACTTGGTCTTTTGCCAAATCTTAACGAGTTGGACCTGTCAGGAAATCAATTTTCTGGGGAAGTTCCACCCGAGATAGGGCGTTTGAGGCTAACTTCACTCAACCTGTCCTCAAATCACCTCTCAGGGAGAATCCCAGGTGAGCTTGAAAATGCAGCTTTTGATAAGAGCTTCTTAAATAACCCTGGTCTTTGTGCAACCGGCCCTTCATTTGGCCTCAGTATTTGTAAGCTGAATACTAAGAAATCAGATAGCATCTTACGCAGAGTTATAGTTATTATTCTTGGTAGCATAGCAGCAGCCTTGTTTCTAGTTGCCATTGCCTATATGCTGTATGTTCTAAGAATGAAGAGGAAAGGATTGCAAGGAATAGACTGGCAATTTACACCATTCCACAGGCTAAACTTCACAGAATCAGAAATTCTGCCAAGTCTAACAGATGATAATGTGATTGGCAGTGGGGGATCAGGGAAGGTTTACCTGGTGCCCTTACATCGTACAGGTGAAAACTTTGCTGTTAAGAGGATTTGGAATCGCGAGAAGTTGGATAAAACGCTTGAGAAGCAGTTTGAAGCAGAAGTGCGGGTACTTGGCAATATTCGCCACTCAAACATAGTGAAACTCTACTGTGAAATCTCTAGTGAAGACTCTAAGCTTCTTGTGTATGAGTACGAGAAAAATCTGAGCTTGGATTTATGGCTTCATCCAAAGAGAAAACCAGGTATTGCAAGTCCACCTCATTGCAAAGTCCTGGAATGGCCAACCAGGCTGCACATTGCCACTGGGGCTGCTCAGGGACTCTGCCATTTGCATCACTGCTGCTCCCCACCCATTGTTCATAGGGATGTGAAATCAAGCAATGTGCTTTTAGACTCTGAGTTCAATGCTAAAATTGCAGATTTTGGTCTAGCAAGAGTGTTGTTCAAGCCTGGAGAACCTAACACAGTCTCAGCAGTGGCTGGCTCCTTTGGCTACTTTGCTCCAGGTAATGCATGTTTAGATTCATGCACAAATATAAATCTTTTGTGTTGATGTTGATTTTAACCAAAACACAACAAATTAAAGCTCCAGCCTGTTTATCTCATAGTAAGAAACAAATTAAACATGCTAATTGTTGAAAAAATAGCATAAAAAGGGGTAGGTGGCTATTTTGGATACAAATATATATTAGGTTCAAACTGGATTCGGGTTCTTCCTAATAAGATGAAGAGATTGATATATTGTACGGCTCATGGGGTGTTTGCTTGGCATGAATTGCAATTATTCAATGTCAATGCATCAATGAAATGATAAACTACATTGTTTGAAATTGCAATTCCCTCAATTCAATGAATTGTAATTCATAGATTTCCCTATGAATTGCAATTCATCCATACAAAGAAAAGGGAAAAATGAAGAAAATGACATATTTGCCCTTGAATATTATTATTAATATTATTACTCAAAGGACATTTTAGTTTCTTTACCAAAAAAAAATGACATTTTAGTTTTTATATCACTTCTTTCATTTCCATTTCAAATAATTCTATTCATCCATACCAAACAATGTAATTTTAATTCCTACTTTATTCCCATTGTACCTTATTATTTTCCCACTGAATTACAATTCTTTTCCCTCTTAATTCTCAACGTAGACTCGTTTGAGTTGGAAAATAAAGGTGAAAATGCTTAAAAGTAGCCTTTTGTCTAGGAAAAACAAGGGGCCGGGGTTTGCACAACTATATAATTATATATACAAGAGCCTTTTAAGGTAGGTTGAATTGTATAGTACAGGGAGTTTGTACTGTTTTACATTTCTTGTGCTTATTATTTTTCTAGAAATCTTATTTTTGTACTAATATTTTGTAACACTAATTAATGGTGTGGTTTTTATTTTGATTTTCAGAATATATACGTACATGTAAAGTGAACGAGAAGATTGATGTGTACAGTTTCGGGGTAATCCTTTTGGAGCTGGTTACTGGAAAGGTAGCCAACGATTGCAATGAAGAGTTGTGCCTGGTTGATTGGGCACGGCAATACGTCCAAGACGGAAAACCCATAGCTGATGCACTTGATGCAGTTATCAATAAGCCACAGTACTTGCATGAAATGCAATGTGTGTTCATACTTGGGATAGAATGTACCGACACAACTCCTTCCAGCAGACCTACCATGAAAGTCGTCAAGGAAATGCTGCTAAACTTACAGCGTCAATCATCATATGCAGACAACATAAATGGAAGTGAGCGAGACGCTTCACCACTCCTTAAACATACATTCAGGATTTCAGGGAGTGGGAGGATCTAGCATCATTATCACTTGAGAATATTAAGAGGACGTTTGGTTCAAGGGATCTGAGATTATCAAGGTAATCTCAGAAAGGTAATGCATGTTAATTACCATGTTTGATTTAGGTAATCCGAGATGGAAGGTAATGCAAGACTATTGCCACGTAGGAAATTAATGAGGGTGTATTTGAAGTAATCTGATTACCAAATTTTGTTTAGGTAATGTGAGATTACTTTTCAATATTTCAAAATTACCCTTCTTTATACCTCTTTTATTCATTACCGAGAGGGTACATTTGTTTCATTGCATCTTTACAGAGATGGTACATTTGAATGTTCAGTGAATTGCTATCAATTGTTTCATTGCATCTTTACAGTATTTTACACATTCCATTAATTATTATTATTATTATTAGCATAAAAAGGGCATTGTAAGTGACTATTTCCGGTACAAATTTATATGGGGTTCAAACTGGATTTAGGTTCTTCACAAAGAGATTGCTATATTGTACGCTCATGGGGTGTTTGGTTGGCATGAATTGTAATTATTCAATGTCAATGCATCAATGAAATGATAAACTACATTGTTTGAAATTGCAATTCCCTCAATTCAATGAATTGCAATTCATAGACGATCCTCCTATGAATTGCAATTCATCCATACAAAGAAAAGTAAAAAAGGAAGAAAATGACATATTTATCCTTAAATATTATTATAAATATTATTACCCAATGACATTTTAGTTTTTATATCACTTCTTTCATTTCAATTCCGAATAATTCTATTCATCCTTACCAAACAATGTAATTTGGTAGGTACAGCTTGATGTGTACAGCTTCGGGTGATCCTTTTGGAGCTTGTTACAGGAAAGGTAGCCAACGATCGCAATGAAGAGTTGTGGCTGACTGATTGGCCTGGGCGCGGCAATACGTCCAAGACGAAAACCCATAGATGATGCACTTGATGCAGTTATGAAGAAGCCACAGTACATAGATGAGATGCAAGTTGTGTTTAAACTCGGGTTATATTGTACTCACACATCTCCTTCCAGAAGACCTACCATGAAAGATGTCCTGCTAAATTGCGAATGCCAATCAACATATGCAGGCAAGATAAATGGAAGCGAGCGTGATGCATGCTTCACCCCTCCCTTTTGTCCCCGCTAAAGACCAAGAAGTATATTTAAGTATTCTATGAGACTGTTTCACATGAAATGTGTAATATTTTTAATTAAAATATAATACTTTTTATATACCAGTAAAACATATTGTATCTTAAAAATACTACACATCTCACTTTATTTTATCTTTAAAAAAGTATTAAATTGGCCCCTTAAGTCATTCAATAGTGCAATTAGGTCCCCCAAGTAAAAAAAGTTTCATTAAGATCTAAAGATCCCCTAAACCTATTAAATAGTTCAATTGAGTCCAAACTAACTTGTAAAGTAGGTTAATTCATTCCAAGCTTAGCATGTGTCACTTTTAAAATATTTTTTTTTCTTTTAATTCTTTAAAAAAACTTTTTATTTTTTATTAAATTATTTTAAAAAATAAAAAGAAATTTTAGCCACCAACTGTTCGGCGAGGACAATCGGTGGCTGCCTCCTTCATGACTGTCTGGCGAGGATAGCCACGGCTGTCAACATGAGGTCCAAATCTGGACCTCAAACGGCTGGGAACGAGGGTGGAGGCCTTGGCCACCGCCTTGGTTCCAAACGGCCATGGATGTCCGGGGCTGTCCCCTGACAGCCATGGCCGTCTAAAAAATTTTTTTGAATATTTTTAGACTGCCATGGCATGGTTGTTTGGACCTCATGTAGTCATGTTTGACAGTTATGGTTGTCCGTGAAAGAGGTAGCTACCAGCTATCCTCGCTGGACAGCCGGGGCTGAATTTTTTTTTATAAATAATTTAATAAAAAATAAAAAATATTTTAAAAGCGACACATTTCAAATTTATGATGAATTAACCTGCTATACAAGTTAATTTGGACTTAATTGACCTATTTTACAAGTTTAGGAGATTTGAATAAAGTTTTTTTTTTACTTAGAGAACTAATTACACTATTCGAATGACTTAAAAGGTCAATTTGACATTATTTTTTTTCTAATAAAATTAAGATACTTGACGCAAATGCTACTGCGTACATAACAATGCAGATGAAAATTTCCGTACGACAAAGATATTATTTTGTGTAGATCTTAATTACTTTTCAACAATGCCGTAGCCGTGGAACTTAGGTTACGTTGGAATGTTGTGTGAGGAGTTGACTAGTCTTTGTTCAACAAAGGCTGTTTATAACTCATAAGTCCTCCCACAGTTACTCAAATCTAAAGAATAATGTGAGATAGATATTGGTAAACAATGTGACCAGTTGACTACCAATTCCCTCTATTCTAAGTTACAAACAATGAGAGATATTGATAAAGATGTAAACATTGACATCCTTTATTTATCTTATATTTAGTATACTATTTTGTTATAAAATAATTAATATTTAAGCATATTAAGAAAAAATCATTTATAAATATACCCTTATATTTATTTTATTTACACATTTTCCCTACATTTCATTTCCTATATTTTTTAAAATTACAGTCCTCACTCCCTACTTCTTGTTTGTTTTTCTGTTTACATGTTACATAGTATTTCTTACTCATAAAAATCAAAATTTCTTGTTTGAAGAGCTCTTGCATCTGAACCTGACAAGATAATGAAAGGGTAAATCATACTGACAAGCATGGTTACAAAAATCGCGCCTAGACATTAGACAGCGCCAGGCTGCATCGAGAAACGCCGAAATCGACCTCCTTCACGTCCAGACGCCTAGCGGCCGAACTCCTTTTTTTTTTTTTTTTGGCGAATAAATAAATAAATAAATAAATAAATAAATAAATAAAGGGCCTAGGGAACGCATATCCACACTATTGAAAAGTCCAGTATTATTCTCCAAAAAAAAAAAAAAAAAAAATCAGATACAACGGGGATTGATAAGGCCAATAGAAAAGTAGAATTTTAACTTTTTCTTCATACAGATTCAAGCAGTTCAGTTGAAATAGAGACTGAATTCTGCCTCAGATACAAGCAAGCTGCAAAACTCTGATCTCTTTCATGCCACCATTTCAAGAACCAAGCTTTTTTAATCCTAAATCAGCCTCATAATGTCCAAACTAACCCCATCATCTTCAACCCAAATCTACCTCATCATCCTCACACTTCTGCTCTTCACTTTGCCCTTCCATGGAAACTGCCAACCCAGTATCAATCCAGAGAGAACAATTTTGCTTGAAATAAAGAACCATTTTTCTAACCCATCCAATCTTTCCCACTGGACTTCATCCTCCGACCACTGTACTTGGCCGGAGATCACCTGTGCAGATGGCTCCGTCACCGGAATCCGGCTAGCCTACCTAATGCTTAACCAAACCATCCCACCATCCATATGTGACCTCAAAAACCTCACCATTCTTGATCTCAACCACAACTTCATCCCCGGGCCTTTCCCTGTAGCTCTCTACAATTGTTCAAATCTTGAAATCCTAGACTTGTCTTTCAACTACTTCAATGGCTCAATCCCCAGTGATATCAACCGGCTTTCTCCTCGGCTCACGGTTTTTAACCTCTCCTCAAACTCGTTAACTGATGGAATCCCAGCAGCCATTGGAGGATTAAAGCAGTTAAAAGAGCTTCAGTTTGCCGCCACCTTCTTGAGTGGATCTTTCCCGCCGGAAATTGGTGACTTGGTGAATCTTGAAGTTCTGACTTTGTACGAGAATCCCTTTGCACCGCAGGAGATCCCGTCAAGTTTTGCTGGATTGAAGAAACTGAGGAATCTATGGATCAAAAGTTCCAATTTGGTTGGAGAGATTCCTGAGAATATCATCGGTAACATGACAGCTTTGGAGTTCTTGGATTTATCTGGAAATAGTCTGAGCGGTAATATTCCCAACAACTTGTTTCTGCTTAAGAATTTGACAAAAGTTTACCTCCAGGTAAACAAATTGTCAGGTCCTATTCCACAGTCAGTTGAGGCCTTGGATTTGAATTGGATTGATTTTTCCAATAACACTTTAACCGACGAAATCCCTGAAGGCTTTGGGAAGCTGACAAAACTGGAGGGGTTGGTTCTGTTCATGAATCGATTATCAGGCGAAATCCCAGAAAGCATAGGTAGATTGCCAGCATTGTGGGATGTGAGGCTGTTCACCAACAATCTTTCAGGCGAAATTCCGGGAGATTTTGGGAAACATTCAAAGCTGCAAACTTTTGATGTTTCCACAAACAATCTTGTGGGATCATTGCCAGAGGGGCTGTGTGATAACAAGGTGCTTTCTAGCATCATTGCTTTTAACAACCACCTTACAGGTGAGCTTCCAAAGTCTCTTGGGGATTGTCAAACCTTGGGAAGTGTCCTAGTTGAAAAGAACCAACTTTCTGGAACAATTCCTGATGGTTTGTGGGGAGCTAGGAATCTGTCAAGGTTCTTGATTAGTGATAACTTGTTTACTGGTGAGCTTCCACGAAAGATTGCATCGAATGTGTCTCTAGTGGATGTTAGCAACAATCGGTTTTCAGGTGAAATCCCTGCTGGGGTTTCTTCTTGGAATAATCTTGTTAACTTCAAGGCAAGAGATAATCTGTTTACCGGTGAAATCCCTCAAGAACTGACGGTCCTGCAAAGGTTATCGGTTCTTTGGTTAGATGGGAATCAACTTTCTGGGAATTTCCCATCAGAAATTATCTCATGGAAGTCACTGACCTCCTTGAAATGCAGCAGGAATCAACTCTCTGGTGAAATCCCTTCAGCACTTGGTCTTTTGCCAAATCTTAATGAGTTGGACCTGTCTGGAAACCAATTTTCCGGGGAAGTTCCACCCGAGATAGGGCGTTTGAGGCTAACTTCACTCAACCTGTCTTCAAATCACCTCTCGGGGAGAATCCCGGGTGCTCTTGAAAATGCAGTTTTTGATAAGAGCTTCTTGAATAACCCCGAACTTTGTGCAGCCACCCCTTCAATTGGCCTCAGTATTTGCAAGCTGAATACCAAGAAATCGAATAGCAATTCAATCAGAGTCATAGCTATTCTTGGTAGCATAGCAGCAGCCTTGTTTCTAGTAGCCATTCTCTATATACTGTTTGGTTTAAGAAAGAGTAGGAAAGGAAAGCAAGGATTAGACCCAAATTGGAAGTTTACACCATTCCACAGGCTAAACTTCACAGAATCAAATATTCTGTCGAATTTAACAGAAGACAATGTGATTGGCAGTGGGGGATCGGGGGAAGTTTACCTCGTACAACCCTTACATCATACCGGTGAAAAAGTCGCTGTTAAGAGGATTTGGAATTGCAAGAAGCTGGATCGAAAGCTCGAGAAGGAGTTCGAAGCAGAAGTGGAGATACTTGGCACGATTCGCCACTCAAACATAGTGAAACTCCTGTGTGGAATCTCTAGTGAAGACTCTATGCTTCTTGTGTACGAGTACATGGAAAATCGCAGCCTGGATTTATGGCTACATCCAAAGAGAAGACCATATTTTTCAAGTCCCCCTTATTGCCAAATCCTGGAATGGCCAACCAGGCTACACATTGCCACCGGGGCAGCCCAGGGGCTCTGCTATATGCACCACGGCTCCTCCCCGCCCATCGTTCACAGAGATGTTAAATCGAGCAATGTGCTTTTGGGCTCCGAGTTCAATGCTAAAATTGCAGATTTTGGTCTGGCAAGAATGTTGATTAGGCCTGGAGAAGCTAACACAGTCTCAACATTGGCTGGCACTTTTGGCTACATTGCTCCAGGTAAAACCATCAAAGTCCTGACCCAATTAAATCGAGAAAATCACTATAGTCGATGATTAAATTAAACCAGTTTTTATTATGGTTTTCAGAGTATGCACACACAACTAAAGTGAACGAGAAGATCGATGTGTACAGCTTCGGGGTGATCCTTTTGGAGCTCGTTACCGGAAGGGAACCTAACCATGGCAGTGAAGAGTTATGCCTAGCTGATTGGGCACGGAAATACGTGCAAGAAGGAAAGCCCATAGCTGATGCAGTAGATGCAGATATCAAGAAGGCACAGTACTTAGATGAGATGCAATCTGTGTTCAAACTTGGGATATTCTGTACTGACATTTCTCCTTATAGAAGACCTACCATGAAAGAGGTCCTGGAAATCCTGCTAAAATTCAAGCGTCAATCGCCATATGCAGACAACGTAAATGGAAGTGATCGCGACGCTTCGCCACTCCTTAAACATTCAAGGAGTGGGAGGAGCTCAGAGAGTGAAGATGATGAGTTTAAGTTCATAGTGTGAAGGAGTCTAGAGTGTTTAAGATGAATACATTATACATATAGCTGTTCATAAAAGTATAAATGTAAATATGTATGTTTAGTTAGGTAGATTATTGCAATAAAACATGAATACAACCAACTCGGTAAATCAGCCTTGGTTATCATAGCTGACCGGCTCAAATCAAGAAAGTTGGGATTCAAACTCTATGACCTTGTGATTACAAGTTTGTATCCTTAGTTATCTAGAAGGCCACATCAATTTGCTATCATAAGCAATGGTAGAAGCAGACATCCAGGCAATTGTAGGATCAAGATTTCATCCAAATAGTGATGAGGATCAAGTGTGAACAATTTTATTCTTTGAGATGTTAACAGAGTTATACTTCGTCAAATTAGAATTTAGTAAAAGTCTAACTCGTTGTTAGGGATGGCAATGTGCCCCGTTCCCGTCTGGGAAAAATTTCGGGGATCGGAGACGGGGATACTCCTTCCCGCCCCGCCCGTCCCCGATTAATTATATATATATATATATATATATATATATATATATATATATATATATATATATATTAGAAATTTAGATTATTAGAGTTAGAATTTAGAAATTAGAAATTTAGAATTAGAACTTGAAATAATCATGTACTGTGTCAAATGTCAAATATGTAATGAATGTGAGTTACTGTGTATGAGTTTTGAATGTACATTACTGTAAGTTTTGTATGTATTGAGTTCTGAATTTTACATTATTTCATAGCATAAAGCATGTACTGTTTCAATTTTATTTTTTATTTTCAAAATTGTATTAGTTTAATATTTTAACTATGGGTTGATCAGGGATGGGGATTCCCCGTCCCCGCCAAATTTCCCGCGGGGACAGGGTCGGGATAGCGGGGACAGGGATGGGGAGTATGGTCCCCGCCCCGTTGGCCGTTGCCATCCCTACTCGTTGCTTGGGGTCTTCAACGTGATCTTGAAAAGTACGGTTGAAGTATTATTCACATTCTTCCAGAAGGCTGAACCCCATGAAGTACTATTCACATGGTTTTAGAGTTGCGTGAGAGATAAGTTCATTTCTCTTGTAACTCGTAAGAGTTTTTTTTTTTTTTTTTTTTTTTTTTTTTTTTCGTAAGAGTTAGGTGTTTCATTAGTGCGTAGTCTTTGGTAACCAACCCAAGGCCACATCATTGATGAGATGAGAGCAGATTAGGGTTCGTTTCTGGTAATTGGGTTTTTTTTGTTTGATTTTTTCGCACTTTGGTCAGAATAAGAGGGCAACAACGGTCCGAGATTGCAAGGTCAATGTAAATGTCTATTTTATCTTTATTTGAAATGGGAAAATTTTTCTCTGGTGAGATTTTGATGAAAAATTGTCCTGAAGGACCATTTTTGTAACAAAAATAATAGTGGACTGTAATTGCAAGATTTGAAAGTCGCAGATTAATCTTGATAGTGTCAGTATAGTCGTAGGACCAAAATTACTTTTGGAAAATGGAGAAAGCAAATTGGAATTCCTAATTCCGCTCCTATGTCTTAGATGTAGTCCCTTGTTTACACTGGTGATTGTGATTAGGATTTGAGACTAAAGTATCTTCCCTTCTCTGCCACGCTTCAAAGTCACTGCTAAATCTTCCGGTCAAAGCTGGAAAATAAATTAGTGGTTTTGGAAAGGATTACAAAATCCTTAAAACATTTTCTCTCAAACAATGATGGTAAGGTGTAACAGGAACAGAAATTAGATTGTGGGCAAGGAATAGAAAATATGTTGTGTAATAAGTTGCATTATTATTTTGCATATTTTGTGTCTGTGAGCGCCTTTTTTTTCTTTTTTTTTAGGATTAAGGCTCAAATTGGCCACTGAACGTGAAAATGCAATTAGACCACTGAACGAAAAAAAAATAAAATAAAAATGTAATTAGGTCACTGAACACTCCAAATGTATGCAATTTCACCTGATAGCAGGTTACCATCAATTTTAGCAGGTTACCTGCTTATGTGATAGCTGAGTTGGCATTTTTAATAAATTTTAATAATAAATTTTTAAAAAATTATTTATTAAAAAAAAAAAAAAAAAAAAAAAAAAAAAAAAAAGGGCGGCCACCGGCCACCCGTCGTTTTATTTTTTATTTTTATTTTTTTATTTAATTTTTTTTTAATTTTTTAAAAATTTTTTAAAAATTTTTTTAAAATTTATTATTAAAATTTATTAAAAATGCCAACTTAGCTGCTACGTAAGCATGGTAACCTGCTAAAATTGATAGTAACCTGCTATCCGGTGAAATTGCATATATTTGGAGTGTTCAGTGGCCTAATTGCACTTTTTTGAATGTTCAGTGACTTAATTGCATTTTTTTTTTCGTTCAGTGGCCTAATTGCATTTTCAAGTTACGTTCAGTAATCAATTTGAACCTTATTCCTAATTTTTATTTTATCTTCTTCTTTTTTCTTTTCCCTTTTAAGTTCTTTTCAATTTTACATTTGTATTTGCTCATGATGTATTGATTATCCACATTTATTTTTGGAAAATGGAGAGAGCAAATTGCAATTTCGTCTGAGATGTAGCTCGTTAATTGTTTACATCGGTTAGGATTTGAGAGTTCTTATAACCTTACATACACTTAGTCTTTCTAGTATTGCAATTAATTTCTCATGTATAATTTATGAATTATTACATAAAAGTGAAATTTACTCGTGCACACCACTAAATAGTGAATACGAGTTTTTCTTGTCATAAAAGACTAGTTTCTCATAGTGAATGTGAGTTTTTCTGGTAAAAAAAGATTGTTCACAAATGTGATGCACCTGTTGGATGCGCTTCGTTGCCCAGACGCTCAAAATTTTTATTTCTTTTTAATCTTAAAAATTGTACAAAAACATTTCCGTGTAGAAAGATTGGTCAAAGATGGAATAAAATCCTCTAGAAAAAAATACTCATAATGAGTGACAAAGAAGTAAGAAAAATATTACAATAATCGTACTTGAAAATTGATGATTATTATTATAGCCACCGTCAGATCATACTTTCTATGTGCACACAAGAAATTTAATACAAATCTTATCCTTAGACCATTTTTCTCATAAATGTCGTGAAAATTAATCCAAGCATATGATTCATGAACAAGGTTGGTCAGGGGTAGAATATAATGAAATTCTCTCTAGAAAAAGAATGGGCATAATGGTTGATGTTTTGATGATGAAATTGGAAAAAAGTACACATCGTGAGAATTCTGACAATGAACCCCCCTTAGACGGCAAATTATATTATGCACCGCGGTGCATAATCGATTATGCACCGCGCGTCTTTTTTTTTAAATGAAAATAAACAGTGTTTGTTTCCGCCGTTTCGCACCCTTTTGCAAAAAGTACCTCTGTTATTCAGTGTCATTTTGTATACACTGCAGTTTCAGTTCAACACAACTACAGTTTCATTTCGATATAACTATAGTTTCATTAGATATTTATAGACTCAAATATGTGAAAATGTTATTTAATTTTATTTTATATACACTATAGTTTCATTAAAACACAACTACATGATCATTTTGATATAATTACAACTTCATTGTACAATATACACTCAAATATGTGAAATGTTATTCAGTTTCATTTTATATACACTGCAGTTTCATTTCACTATAACTACAGTATCATTTTGATATAACTGCAGTGTCGGTTTAGATATACTGTAGTGTCAGTTGGTGTTTAATACACCAAACAAGCGGACTCCGTTAACTCTAACGGCGGGCCGTTTCTTTAATTAAATAAAACGACGTCGTTTTGACAGTGTCGGTTTAAACACACTGTAGTGTCTGGCGCGCGGTGCATAATCGATTATGCACCGCGGTGCATAATATAACGACCCCCCTTAGACAACCCTTAGACAAGTTGGAAGAATTTAAATCTTATGGTGTATAAATTTAGTAATATTATTTCCTACTAATTATCTATTACAGTATTCTATAAAGTATTACATTTATATTATAAAGTACTCCGAATTATATATTAATTTTAAAGCATTGATTATATCTATTATGAAATCACACTTTATTTAATGTAAATTGTCTATTATAGTGTTTCTATAAAATATATACTACATTTATACTATAAAGTATTATATATAAGACTTTAAGTATTGATGATATATATCTCCAATTCTAGAGAAAATAGTCAAATATGTCATTAAACTTTACTCGAAAGTGCAATTAAGTCTCTTAACTTTAAAAAGTGCAATTAAACACTCAAACGTGTCAAAATGAGCCAATTAAGTCTGGTTTACTGATAACCAATAGATTACAGGTAAAATTATGGCTGTTGATCACCATTCATGACCGTTAAAAAAAATTAAATTGTCAGTAGCTTTCTCCGGTCTTCTCCACCGGAGAAGATGACCGATCGACCAAACATTCGTCTTTTCTAGTGAAGAAGACGACCGGTCACGATCACCATTTTTTTTTTTTTTAATTCAAAGAGTCGTTGGGTTAGACGCACTAAAATGCTAAGTTTGTGTGTTTAATTGGACTTTTTTTAAAATTCATGGGTCTAATTGCACTTTAGAATAAAGTTCAATGACTTATTTGACCATTTTCCCTCAATTCTATTATGTTATTACTTTATTTTTTGTAATTTGTCGATTACAATTTTGCTATAAAGTACTACATTTATTATATAATAAAGTATATTATATATAAGACTTAAAGTATTGATTATATCTAAAATTTTATTATAACATATTTTTTATTAGTTTCAACCCGTCTCATATGAGACCAATTCATATTCTTTAATTAAGTTAAATTTATTGTTATATTATATTTTAAGGGTGAGTTAGAATTATAAGGATGTAAAAAATAATGATTGTGAATTATTAATATAGTGATATGATAATAAGATTTGCTTTAAAAAAGTAAAAAAATTAAGAGAGTATTTCAAGAACTTAAGTTAAATTCCTAGCTTACGCAACACCGCAGTGTGCGTCAGTGCGTCACAACATGATGTTATACATAATTTTATGACTTTACAAAGTCTAGCCGTGAAGTATGGTAAAAGGTTGTTGTTAAAGGTTTGAGTAGAAAGAATCCAGAAATGT